ATTCGCAAATCTACACGAACCAGTGATTATATTCTATTTTATTATGAATCTAACTGAAATTTTATGATGCTGAAATGATATAGTTCCTTCAAAATAATTCATTAATTTAATGGAATGCCACCTAAGCATACACCCTTTCAGGGATTTTATAGATTGATTTAAAGAATCATCTGTTGTGTTTTCGTCACATAAATCGTATACACTCACTTACTTCGCTTGTGCTCATTCGTTGTATTATTTATTATATTTGGTAGCATCTTATCATTTATACGTGGGTGAATATATTATGCACATCGGGTTCAATTTCACTTTTCTGAAATATAAAGTTTTCTCAAGCTCTTATAATTTCGTCTAACAGCAGCTGCGCAATTAGTCATCCATTACAACTCCTCATTCATACATCAGCAATAACAATCGAAAAGAATTTTATTTCGATCGCGATTTCTGGTCAGAATCCAACCGAGAAATTTCACAACTTGCAAGTACGCGAGAATAAAAACTTCGAACAAGCAGTTCTATCGTCTTCGATGAAAGACATCAATGAAAATCTCTAAAAACGAAATTGATCATTTTCGAAAAGTCGAACTCACTGCAGCTCTTCAGAAAGGTTTATTCAAACGATGCTTTCTTCATTTTAACGTAACTTCTTCAAACGATTCCAACGAAAATCTGATTGATTATTTATATTTAAAAACCGTATCAAAAGAAACCAGAACAGATTCCAATAAAACAACACAGGTTTACGTGAAAGAAACGAGATAAATAAGGCCAAGTATTTGCATTGTCATCTAAAACAAAACCTTTTCCTTTATGGCATTTGCATTCACCAAGTAAAAGTGAACCATTTTCAGTTTAGCGGTAAGTTGATATTACAGCGAATCCATCTCAGAAATTTTCATACTCAAATTTACACAAATAATCTGTAAATTTCCAATGGAAATCTAACCAAAAGTTCTTTTAACGACCTGAAATTCGATCATAATCTGATCAAATTTCAAATGAATTTTGCTAACCGAACTTCGGATACTTTTCATCACTACCACACACCCCAAAAAAAACTAATATTATCCAGTCATTATTCATAGCTCCTTCTTATAAAATACCGTCTTCTAAAATTATATCATTCATCAACAAATACTCTCGTTCNACCTGAAATTCGATCATAATCTGATCAAATTTCAAATGAATTTTGCTAACCGAACTTCGCATACTTTTCGTCACTACCACACACCCCAAAAAAAAACTAATATTATCCATTCATTATTCATAGCTCCTTCTTATAAAATACCGTCTTCTAAAATTATATCATTCATCAACAAATACTCTCGTTCTCTTAGAACGGTTTCGGTTCGGATGAGTGATTGGTGAAAATATTGCACGTTGCTTGATTGAAAATTGTTGATAAGTTGATTAGAGAAGGGAATATTGAAAAAAAACGCACTTTTATTGATGGATCGGTGAGTAACAGATGAGAGGAATTGGATAGAGAACTTTTTGATAACGAAGCATTTGATTGTCAAATGAAAAAGTACCACAGAATGAATTTTTTACTCGAGACTTTCAAAATACTTTGAGGATGGGATCAACGGTTCATTTTACTATCGTCAAATGTTGAATACTGAATTGATTAAGACAGCACAATTCAATAAACCGAACTAGTGCTTCATCCGAATCACGTACGCACTGTTGTTCGGTGAATTCAACTGTTAGCGCCATCAAATTATTCGAACGTGAAAAGCATCTAAAACTGTGAAATTCAACATTTAATCTATTGTTACATCCACATCCACATCGTTACTTATTTCAATATGAACAATAATCAGTAGTGAAGAAATCTGAGCGAAATTTCATGTCGGCCGAAATCCGACTGATCTGACTTTTCAGAATTGAGATAGTCGGAATTCCGACCGACCTCTCAGATTGTTCGGTCGGAATCCGAATGTCGGAACTCCCTACGAAATCTGTCGGATTTTTCCGACCGATCTTCGATCGGTTGCTATTTATAATAACCAGACCTACAAGTGTACAATATTGCTATACGGTAAATGCTTCGGCAGTTAGCAAGTTCAAATAATTTGTATGGTTGTGATTCGCTGGTGCCGTTACGCTTTTCATTTTTTTCTGATGACATATGAATAGAACTATCTAATCTTATTCATTGATCTAACCTGGATTTGAAATTCTCAGCAAACGATTATTCATGCATTTCCTCACTAATCAGCCTGAATATTCCAAATGAAATATAGTCGAGCGGCTGAATGGGAGCGTCGCTGTGCAGTTAATGTGTAGCGAATCAACATGATGCTTTATGGATTTTCACCTTCCTGAACATGTCACATTCAAATCATGAGCAATATTATCTTATTGCATGTTTTTTTCACGGGAAATGAATACACTTTTCAAGAAAATGGATAATTTTTGTGCAGAAGTGTTCCATCATTCATTAATAGCTTTTCCATTGTAATTTGCTTTCATTCTCTCATGACATCATTGTGAAATTTCTAGTTCATCGTCATTCAGCTCTTAACCAACAAGTGATTGGCAACAAACACTCTTGAAAGTATTGGTTTCATCATAGCCTTTTAATGTGTACTTGGCATACGATAGTTCAGTTTTTTTTTTTGGTGTTGTAAATGCAAATAACATTTTCGATCATCTCATTAAATTGATCTGTGATAAAAATGGAGCAATAAGTGTCATTTGATGGCTAAAATAAACTATTAAAACACCTCTTAAGCGAATCATGTTCGAGCATTATCTGTTTGTGGATATGAATAAAGTTCTATTTATATTATGACTGCTCATACATCTTTGCTTCACATGTAAACCAATGAAAATTTTATTGTGACACATTCTTGAAACACGCCATGAGATCAACATCATTTCTTTTCACTAAAAAATTCATCATACAAGATGATTTCTGCAAAAAAACCTCTTGTTCAGGGTGAAAGTGAGTCGGATAATTTTATCAATTGTTGACTGCATTTCAAATTTGAAATTGTATTTCATCGTTTCCAAAAGACCGTCAATCATATGATTTGACTTGCAAGATCCTACCACGTTCCACTGATGACTGGCTGTTGTCACTGCTAGTCGTTCATATTAAAGTAGAGAATGTTTATCAAACTCGACTACTCAACAAATGAATGGTTAGAAAGTTGGCTGAAATAGGAAATCACAGAGAACGCTTCATGACTTCAACTGAAGAGATTCAAAATACGAGCGTACAGGATTGTGGATGTATTTGAGCTGATTAATGGGATGAAGAGGTGAATTCAAAAGGTGCTATAAATTTAAAACCAATGACGGGATGGACAGACAAACAGATAACGACAACGGAATTTCGAAAGGAAGATTTCTCGTCTTAAAAAACTTGCATCTACTTATCGCAGCACGACGATCAGCAGTAAGAGCAGTTGTGAACATTGCGTAAGGATCAGCACAATGAATGAAGAACGGAACGATACGTTGTACTGACTGATATTCGTTCGGTGATACATATAATTGTGTGTGGTTTGTTATTGTAAGTTAGAAGATGCGAAGGGTGTACGTCGTAGGAAAGGGAAAGGAACGAACGAACGAATGAACGAAGAATGAACAACGTAAACGACGGGCATAATGAAGACAAGGCGTTGTTGGTTGCATAGTAGAAGTGTGCTGGTGCTGCTGCGGGTGTTGTTGCTGTCTGTATAGCTTTACAATCATCATCTTCTTCATTACTATTTTTATAATATTTGAGCACTAATTTGAAGAATAATCGAATCGAATCACTAAATTAAATACTTGTTCCATTTATCACCATCATACTCAAAATCATCGCTATAATCCAATTACTATTCATTCTGAACATAAATGCATTACAACTATTTCGTTACAATCATTCAGCTGATAATCTTCATTGAAATCAGCTCGTTGGTGAGTGCTTCACAATCACGATTACGTTCACAGTTCGAAGTGGATTGTCCACGATTGTGCTCATGTAATGCAACAGCAATTCAGTGTTTGCACGCACGTGCACAACGCTCTAATATGTTCTTGAGCGTCCGTCATGAGTCGTATCCGAATTTGGATACTTTAGTGGTGAACGGTGCGACGTTGGGTGATCTGAGTGGCACGAATTTATTTGGTGAAAATGTGCAGCATAAACATCTTTCGTTGGTGAATCTTTCAACGAATTCTATATCTGCGTTCGACAGTGCTACTTTCAAGGCTCTGACCGTTGTTGAATATTTCTATTTGAACGATAACAGTTTGCTGAGAGTTGGTAAAGATCCATTTCGGTTGGTCTCCTTCCTTTATTTGTTTCCGATTGGTTTCATTTCAGTTGACAAACATTCAATAATTTTTATAAATGATTCGTCTTTGTATTCGATCAGTTTTTTATATCTTCTGAGATATTCGTTCCATTCATTCGATTGCGAAATGATCTAATTTAAAAAATCGATCATTAAGTTGATCTCGTTCTCTAAATGAATATTCCACATGAATGTCATCGTCCGTATTGATGCATTGTCAGTCTCATTCAAAGCATCATCCTTGCACAATGAACCAAATCTTGGTCTATTGCTCTGAATTAATGAATTCAATTTTTGAAGTGTTCTCATCAATTCAGTATGTTCGTTGATTAATCATCTAATCCAATTTGTACGATTTTATTTGCGAACTAATCAATTGTTGATGAGTTACGACACTTTGAAGAAATAAATAACATGTTATGTTATCGTTCATGTGACAGTTGTGTCGTTCATTTGATATTATGCTTTTTTCCCTCCAGTTTAGTTTCTCGTACGGTCATTATTTCGATTGTGCTGCAAAACGTTTGAGCATTAGCACTCCAAAACTGATCACACACGTTCATTCAAATGATGCTGTTTATGGTTCGTTCATCGTCAACAAACGCTTGCTTTATCAGTATTTACTATTTTTCGACTGATGCTGCATAAAAACACGAATTGAATGTTCGTTTTCATGCTCGCACTAAACCCACTTGAGAACGATGATGATAATGGTCGATCGTATTTGGTAGCATTGTATCGGCTTTCTGAATTAACCAATCAGTAGTCATAATTCTAATAATTATCAGATTCACTCAGTTCATTTAAACTGTTTTGTTTTGATCAGCTTCCTTCTGATTTCAGCCTGTTGTCAATCATGTATGTAATTAGCGTTCGCTGTAGAGCAACTTTCTGGTCGGCGAACGAAGTGGCCAGAGAGGAACGGGTGGGGTTCTCGTGGGTAGTGCGTCTAGGAGTGAACTCCAAGCAAAAATTAGGGAGTAAAACTGCCGAGGAAATGCTCCATATTGGGCACTCCGACGGGGACCTGGTTGCCCGACGAACACTATATATAATGTTATATGTACTATCATAAAATTGTAATGTAACTGCATCGATGCAGTCGAACAATTGGATGCGGTTGTTATGTTTTCATTTCCATTTTTCTGCTATTATTGAGTGTGTGCTCCGATCAGTAGGCGATTGAATGATGATTTTTTATTTGCATAGTTGAATGCCGTTGCTATTGACCTGTGTATTTGCTGATCTGTTTTATGGATCAGAAAGGAAGAATGAAACTGACGTCGTACATGTGTGTAAGAGGTGTTCGAGCTCGCTTTACAATCGGTTATTGTTTAATATAACAACATTTCTGCGGAATAACAACCTTCCTATTAGGTGTGGCAGAAAGTTGCTGGTCAGCTACCCAGGCAAACTGATATAATGAAACGTTGCGTTTTTACCTCATCCGCTTCACTCTCCGGACCTCTCTCCAACAGATTATCACCTGTTCCAAAAACTGGAACTTTTCCTGTGTGGGAAGAACCTCCCAAATGAGACGGTACTGAATGAAAGGCGACGTCCGTCGATTTTTTGATTCCAGGAAGTTACGGGGATAAAAGCCCTGGCCTCGTGTTGGCAACGTTGTGTGAAGGAGAACGGTTTTTATTCTGAATAAGAATGTTGATTTTGAACCGGGTTATGAAACTTTGAAATTTTGGGCCTAACTGACCAGAAACTTTCTGCCATGCCTAATAGCTCTGAAATACTGTATAACAAAGTTCATCCAATGTCCTATGCCAGTTTGTGAACACAAACGACATCGATCCGTATATCTCATATCTCACTGTTGTTCAAACTAATAAGGAAAATTACAATAACAGTAATCTAAAAATGAAACATTAAGCGATTTGATAAAGATCCCACCAAAGAAAATTCTCCATTGACGAATTCGCAGAAACATCTCTAGAGAGCTACTCGTTAAAACAAGCGTAATTCATTTAGTTGTGCAATTTCGTTGAATATTCAATTATGTAACTGTAATTACCTGAAATTAATTGTTAAGCTTTTGCATCAATCCACCGAATTGATATTAAGTCTGCACCAGCAACAGAATGTTTTGCAGTGAAGTTCAAATATTGTGGAATGTCATTGGCTTTTCATCTCGTTCAATTGTCATATTTCACATTCACGAATATTTGTGTATCAGCAGCATCTCTCCTTACAACAGCTTTTCAAAACCGAAATTTTGTTCATGTTAATGGATTTTTTAAATTTCTGAAATCATCATTCAAATATCTGACGACTCTACTCACTTTTCTTAATATCGTTTCATAAGAATGGATATGTGGCCGACCTAGATATATGACGAATATCCTCTTTGTTGCAAATATGTGAATAGCAGTTATTTATGTTGGATATATTCATTTGAGTTCTTTTAGTTCGATTAAAAGTCATCTTCCGTTGGGAAACTATCTGTTCTGTCGCTAACTTTCAAACATTATCGAATATCTGTGTATCAGCAGCATCTCCTTACAACAGCTTTTCGAAACCGAAATGTTGTTCATTTTTCCAAATGGGTTGCTGTGTTTGCGGGGGCGAATTAGATAACTGAAAAAGCACAAATATCATTTCATTTATATAGTATCGCTACGCACACTTTGAAAGTTCCTTAATAATGAGAACAGACGAACAATTTTTGAATGGATTCAGTTTCTTTCTTTCGTATAGTGATATTCTCGTTTCGCCTCAACTCAATATATGCTTCACTTCCTTTTCTACTTCACTTCAAAATCCATCTTTTGCACGAACTCACAGTGTTTACGAAGATTTATTTCACTCTGGCAATATTTCCAAATCGCTCTGATGAAACCTTCCATCTCGCTCAAGTGAAAAAAGGCTCTTATTATTAGATCACTCCAATCGGCTCTTGAGATTAATGAGAAAAAAATGAATGAGTGCCGTTAATGGATCAAAACCAAAATTTTAATTTCAGATGGAATAAACGTCTTCGAGTACTCGATATTTCCAATATCTTCTCACCATCAGTACCACTCGATGAACGACCGAATATGATTTCAGAGATGTTCAGTGTATCGTCAAATGAGTTCATCGATTTGCAAGAAATTATCCTTCGCAGTAATTCATTGACATCGATAGTGCCCGAAACATTCTGCAAGGTCTTCTAAAATATTCTGATGATTTGAAGTAAATTCAAACAATTTGCTAAATATGACCATCGACTGCTGTAAATTGATCGCATTTTTACTCATTCGTTTTTAAAATATTCGAACAAAACTTTTCAGCTACCAAGTTTGATCAGGCTTCATCTGACGAACAATAAATTAACGTCATTTGCTTTCAATGATGGTTGTCTTCCGAATCTAAAAGTGCTTGATTTATCCGAAAATCAATTAGTGAGCATACCGATTCGTCTCTGGGACGGATTACCTGTACTGAACACAATCGACATTTCATCCAATCCACTTCGATGCGATTGCAGTCTAGCGCCATTCATTGAACGTTTATCCAAAACTTCTTCATCATCGCTGAATCAGGTTATTTTCGTTNCTGTCACATCAACAAACAACTAGTTTCGTCTTGCAGAAAGTCTTGAGAGAAAAGCTCGGAAAGGAATGAATTTTAAAAGTGATTATTGCAGGGTCGAACAACTTGTGCAGCGCCTGCATCACGAAAAGATCGAGTTGTGTTCGAGATTACAGATTTCGATTGTTCATCCCATCATCGTCTGCTAGTTTTTGCACTTGTTGTACTGTTTCTTTCAGCCGCTTTCATGTTAGCTCGCGCTTATCTTGGCCGGATCAGATTCACGCATTTACCATTCATTGCCGGTTACAGTAAGCTGGGTGAGAATGAGGCCACAGCGGGTCCACAATTTGTTTAATTTTATTGTCTTTGCATCGTTCAAGTGCCAGTCTTATTTATTTGAAACGATGTGCATCACCTCTCTTCCTTTGCTGAGTTATGCTATCATTGTAAAGCTTCTTATCAATACTCTTCACTGATTGCACGTAAATTGCATTCGTTTACTCATTCAACGCAGCCATGTGATATACTCAACTGCACACAAAACGAATCAATGCACTAGGTGGCATGACTCGTCATAAATACGGTTATAGGCATGAGCAATGGGTAATATCCGTTCATAAAACACCTCAATTCGTTCTTCTTCAATTATGACTGCCATATTCTTGAGGATGTAGCAATATAATTAATTTTGATGTAATAAAACACATTCGAGCGATACCAGCTGATTGCCAACTCATATTTTCATTGCAGTTTCTTTTTTTTTTTGTTTGTTCAAATTGTTGGATTCAATAAAATTCGATCAGATCAGTGCACATTCAAAAACTCAATGAATTCCGGTTCAAGGATGTGAACTACACAATAAAGAAATTTGTTGGAAATTGCTAATGTTCACACTTAATTCATTCAGTTTGTTTTTAGAATGCTTTCATCATATCACAAATAAGTTATTCGTTCAGTTTCTTCCGTGATTTATGTTTGTGCCTTTACCATATTCAGCATCCATCCACATTCATCAGGTCATTTTTATCGAAAAATGGCAAAGTCAGTCATCTGATTTCATCATATACGAAGAATATTCACATTAAATTATTGTTACTCGATCCAACGCAAAGAAATCAAAGAATAAAAGATGCAGATGAGACACAAAAAACCAAAAAAAAGGCACATATTACAGCAAAACATTGAACCGAGCGAAATTGTCGGAGAGCATGGAAAAGGTTTCGCCGATTATTGAAAGCAAATATAATCGATTATGAATTGATTGAAAAAAAGTTCGATATAATAAAATTAACCAAAGTGCCTGTCACCCGGAAAATGCTTCATTTAACAAATCTAAAAGAGTCACATTGCGTCTTTACTAACAAAATCCAATTTTAAATTTTCGTATGCAAAAAAGTAATTTATAAGTCAGAATGAGATCAGAATAACTGGAAGTAAAATGAGCAATAACGGCGGCGTAGCAATGAATAAATAATCTACGCATCCGTATCACTTTTAGAAATTTCAGTGGAGATATTTATTGATGTGTGATTAGTTGAATGATGCGCTGGAGCGTTGATAGTGTTCGTTGATGTTTGCCTGATGGTTGGTGCTACAGTAACGACTGGTAATGATAAGGACACTGGTCCAGTTATTGTCTCGTTTTGTGTTTGCTGCAATGCATTTATATTATCGTCGGATAACAAGCATCTTTTACTGAACATTCAAATATTCACTTTCAAATGCAAGCACCTCTTTTTTTCAACTATTGTTTGTCACGATCAAGTTTGAAATTAATCCATAAAATCATCAATTCATCTCAACAAAAGTCAAACCTTCTGTTCAGCTCGTGCTTTCATCAACCGGTACGTAGTTGTTCCTTGTTGCCCTGTAATACAATATCGGCACATAGGTTGAACTGAATCCAGAGTTTACATTCTAAGATCAACGAAGAAACGACTCAAAATTTTCATTGCCATTGATAATGAGAGGCGATTTCAAATGAAGCTGTTGACAGTTTTATGCTTCCAAAACCATATTTTTTGTTGAATATTACTGCTTGATCACGTTAGTGTCGTGCTCATTTTAATGTCTACAAGGAATTTGCTGTAAGTGTCATGTAACTCACACAGTTTGCAATGGAAATAGAGTAAATAGGCTGACAAAAAGGCCACCGTAGAATCAGTGAACACAACAACCGCACATAAGCCTTGCCACCAGGTCGTTGGCAGCAGCATTCCACCTGAAAGCAAACGTCTACACAATCATTACACCGAAACTCAACTCTCATTTAAAGCCTGAGCTGACGTCTGGACAACATTCAGGTGATTTGATCTCAGCTATGTTGAGTTTTCCGGCAAAGTCCTCGGATGCCAATTCGTTTGAAAGTGGCGGTTTTAGCAATGCACATCATGTATCGCTCACATTCAGCAACTCAACAAACGTTGAAAATCTTAGTGGTTAGTTTGTGTACAGTGAAGCAATTTCAACAATCAAAGTGAAATGTCAAGTATTCAGAAAGATAAAACTGAAAAGTTCATCACTTGTTCATTAATGAATCGATTTCTTATTCTTATTCTCAAAGATCTATTATTGTCGAAACAGAGTGCACATTCACAGAGGGCGAAGTCATACGCCTCAAAGCAGCATAAAGAATGGGCTCGTCAAAACCAATCTATTAAAAGTGCTATTGAAGAAGCATTCGAGAAATTTCACAACGTGCCCGGAATGTGATAGATCATATCAACAAGAAACTGTTTAGTAGTTTTTTCATATAAACATACCACTTTTGCGTATATCAGCGCCACTAATGAGAAAATATATCGGCAAAACGGTGAGTACACTTGCCATCGTGAACGCTGTTAAGGATGCGGATGAGACCAGAAGCAAAAATAGCCTTTAACGTGGTAAGCATAGAATTTCAGAATTAATTAGTTTGATTTGTAATCGATTCGACTCATAAGCAATTTTTCGCACATTTTCTGATTATTCTTGGAGTGGTGCATTAAAAAGCAATATGCTACAATTGTGCTGTTTTCAGTATACGATACAATTCGTTATTTAGAACAATTATGAAATCATTTCGGAAAAATCCTGGAACATAAGACTTCATATGGTTCTAAAACAAAATCAAAATTTGGTAGGCTATAAAATCAGGGCGAGCTCGTGCAGAAAAATTAACACGTTGAAGAAACACGTGAACGAGAATTGTGCACGCACTACTGCTGTCAAGATAAGGTGGATGGATCGTATTTGTTGAAATCGTCTAAACTCAAAACAGTACCTGTAATTCGCGACACCGATACAATTGTTAAGCCATTTGCAGTGGTGATCGAAACCAGATACACATTTATTGCATTTTCGACAATGCTTACACGATGCATCGCTGTAAATGCTTACACGATGCTTTTGTTTTATAGTATTCCACCGAAACGTTTTTTATTTCTGGTAAAATTGTTAAGTGAAATGGTGAATCGTTTTGTTACAAGATGTATGGTAAATATAAGCATTAATCAATCCTTTAAAATGATTTGCATTCGATTAATAAAAACGTCACAACAGTGCTTAAAAAACAAAAGTAAGAATCATAATAAGCTGTACAACGTACACAGTGATTAGACAAATATTGCAGTAAAGATTTTCAATAACGTGCAAATGTTTGCTACGGTCAAAACGAGCGGGCTTTGTGCCCGGACGTAACGTTCGAATCGCAGGATCTATACTGGTTATCACAATTATAAGGGCGATGATCCAGATGGCAAACAAAATTACGAATAAAGGAGCAAATACAGGATGTAGTGGAGCGACCAGAATTGCACTGATTGGTATTAGAAAACCTAATGCAATCCAACTGAGCATCTGAAACACAATAAAATTCCAATTGAAAATGCTTTTGCGATAATCATTCATTCAGTTGCATTCACCAAAAGCTTAGACACGCCTAAGTGCACGCAGCATTTGGAACATGCAAAATTTGGTGCTCAATGAAGAGGATAGTTTTGAATGTTATTTGAGATGAGTCGGAATTGAAAACTTTTGATTGAAGGAAAACAAATTGATGAATAGTGCAGAAGCTGTTCACTTGCAACACAGACGGTGGCCATGTCCAACCGTTACGTCGTCGCCAGTTGTCTACGTTTACCTCACGTTCATCGTTAACAATATCCACTGAAAAGAGTGATCATTTCAAGTAACTGCAGAAATTTTCAATTCCTCATACGCCAAAAACACTTTGAATCAGTCACGTCGCTCTTTTGTATCGTTTATGGCGAATTCCATTTTTGTGACAAATAACTGTCGATATGTGGTGAACATAAGCCACAGAAAAAGTTGCGGCATTTTCATCGATTAGTTTAAATTGATATCAAATGGAAGCTTCTTTATTGATTGGAATTCGCTGGAAAAGCGAACTAGAAAAACAATCTCCAAATTATTTGAATGATATTCTATGAAAAAACAACCATTCCGTCCCATTCCATCCCACAAAAGAAGTTTTGCAAAATATTTCCATTTTGCGATAATAATGCAAGGAAATTTCAGCATGAATTACTTGAATGAAAATCATTATCGCTGATGACTAACCGAATGTTTTGATGAAACCTTTGAATGATTTCCACATCTTTGTATCAGCATTACCTTCCAACATATTTTCGATGACTCCAAGCATTCACCAACAGTATATTACACTCAACATCTGAATATGTAATGAAAAAACACAGTCAACGAATAATATCGCATAAATGTTGCTGTAATTGCTCAAGCAGCACTGTTTGTTCGTCAGCAACAGGGATACGATCGGATCGGTTCAACTCATTGCAAACGTGCTTGCAGTTGAAAATGTTTCGTTCGCAACCTTGCAAAATAGCACAATGAACGCACACAGATAATCGTTTACGCAAAAAAAAAACACGAACACGCAGAATCATTCGGATGTGTAGAATGCGCAGAAACGTATCGACTCGCACCAAATCGAAACTTCTTGAGTATTTTTTTGTTCGTTTATCGTATGTTCAACAAATGAACGAATGTTGCAAAGTCGTTCGTGTAAACAATGTTGAAATGTTAAAAATTACTAAACAGTTCGATGACGATCTTAAAAATTGTTAATGTTGTTAAAGAAGAACGATAATTATGAATGCGATAACATGACGGCTAACAACTGCAATCATACCAACGCTTGACATTAGTGAAGCGTCATGTAGGAATCTTCTAAAAAATACTGCATACATTTTTCAAAGACACACCTTATTCTGATGATGATACTGATAAATAAGTATGATAAAAATATTAGGATAATGATATCATTATTATTATTATTATTATTATTACAATATACATTATCGTTATTCAGTGTCATCATAATATCGCTAATAAAAAAATTGTGAAAAAAATGTTAACCATAATAATAAGTCTTATAACAACGATAGTAACAAAAAACAATGATAAGAAAAAATAATAGTGATATTGTCAACAGTAATAAGTGATAATCATAATAATTAATAATGATAATAGTAAGGAGCAATAATATTCATAATATTAGATTAATGTCTTCTATTATTATATCGCCCTATTGGCAGTGAATTGGTGGATATTAACACACTTATTATTACGAAATTATGCTACAAGCACCCGTTTGGCCATGTAGTGGATCGCCATCCTCCTTTCAACGATTTATTAAATGTAAGTGATGCGTCACAGGGACCAAGCGTTAGTTTAGTGACGACGAATTCGTCTGTGCTGTCATAGGAATCAATTCCCGGCGATCTAACAAACACTATTAAAAACTTTAGAAGAAATATAGAAAAAATAAATTTGATCAGTTCTTCCCTAAGATGCTCAAATTACATCTCTCCCTCCTCTTATGAGTAGTAATACTACTCTAGAAATTGTAAGATTAAGAAATAATGATAATAAATAAATTTCAAAAGCGCCAACACAAAGACTATTTATTATAAGTGAAATGAATTTTTGATCGTTAATATGCTGACTGCATTATAGTTGACACGAAGAGCTGAGGCAATACTCGCCATTTAAGATGTTACTATAGTAACCAACTTCGACAGCAAATACCTACCTGAAAGCCGAAAAGCTAGATGATTACGTAAGTATTCAAGCGTGCTTGATTCAACTTCATCGATACGAGTTGTCTTATTCATGTGCAGTCTTTGTACTCAATCTTCTCAAAGTATAATATATAAAAGCACTATGCAAAATTAATCAATGCCGCACATCTCAAATGAAATCATTAACATCAAGCAACAAAAAAGCATCTAGAATATACCGAACATGTCCACAATTCTGCTAATGAATAACATGAATTGCAACAAGATTTTGCTTGGTGAAATACGAAATTCTGCTGGTTCTATTTTCGAACTTTCTTCATTTTATTGGTCACTTCCATCATTCTCACTTGCCTGCTTGACACAAGCAGTAATCTTTTGAATATGATGAATCTATAACGAACTCGAGTCAACACTTTCAAGAACCTATGGACACTGATCATTTGAACGAACGCCAGCTTCAATTGATCATCATCAAGCAACTAAATTTTACCATCAGTCCTTTCACTTCACCTTCGAAATAACTACGAAGTGTACTTCTTTAAAGAGATATTGAACGTACTGGAGGATTTCATTTAAATGTCAGGTACAATGCGCGCATGATTAAATTCTTTTACTATGTATGCAGTTCGAATTTAGGAAGGTAAAAACCAGCCAGTGGTGGGCGATAGCGTACCATTTGTTATTTCGTTGCCTTCAGAGATAGCGATTTATTTATCGGAGGGATGCTTTATAAGACACGTGCTTAAGGCTTTCTTCTCAAATCATTAAGATACTATCACGAGAGATCAATCATTTTTGCAAAATTTTCAACTGATTGCACTGGTATATTGACCGACCCTTTCATATCATTACTAAAATGAATATCTTACGTGTAATTTATGAATATCTTATGTGTGCTCTAAATTTTATTGCATGACCAGAAAAGGTGATACTTTCATCAACAACGAAAAGAAGAGTAAGGGGTTCTCGAATAAGCAAGGAATTTGATTATCCCATTATCAATTATCAATAGAATTATCATTACGACTGTTGGTTACGGCAGTCATTGTAATGACTGTAATTTATCGTTAACCTTATTTCCACCTCTATAATTCCTTTCGCACGAAAATGAGCATAAAATTGCATATGATTTCCAATATCTCTGACTAGAGGCAATGTTGGCATTGTCGGAACCGGCTTCATCTTTATCATATTGGGGGTCGACGAGATGACTCTTCACTTGAACATCATTTGATTATTATTATTATCGTAATTTTTTGATAAGCGAAATCCCTTTCATTAGAATTAGACACTTCCAATGAACTCCGAAAAGATTCAGTTGAACTTTTGACTGCTTTTTCCTGGACAAATCAGTAGCGTGACTGCAAATTTTGAAAGAAGCTTTGAAAGTAGCGATTAGCGAACTAACTTTGCTGAGTAACTCTTTAACGAAAACTGCCGCCACTTTTTCGATTAGAGGCACATTGCGAAATTTCTTCGCTACTTTTTCCTCAGCAGCGATACTGGCGGATCCTTTTTATCAGAACAAAAACATTTTTTAGCGAATGATGAGGCTACTCTTTTCAGTGGTGTTCCCATCACTGGTAAACGCAATTCACTGCAAAAATTCAAAAAAATTGATGATCGACTTTTACAGCATTCCTTCAAACGAAAATTGCTTGTACAGCAAAGTGTCTGTAACTCATTCGGTACTAAAGTATGACATTACTGAACATAGTTGATTTGATTAACTAATGAATTATTAGAATGTGAATCATCCTTTGTTATATGCACGATTGGCTTCGTAAATATCACTTCAACGAGTCAAAAAGAAATTGTCTGAAAAAAATTGTTGTGTCATCTCAAACATCGACGAATAGTTTATATGCAAAACACATAAGAGATTCGTTTTTTCTGCAACGTCGTTTTTTGCGTTTTTTCGATTCCAAACTAACAACAGTTATTCGTTTCAGTGACATGAAAGATGAAAGAATAAATGAAGATCAGTAGGCTTGAAGCGAAAGCGACAAACACGAAAGGAATACTTTCGGCAGCCATACACAATTCAGCACATTCTCGTACGCGCGAGAACTTTTTAGAAAAAGAAAAAGTTGATCAAGATGTAATCATAAAACACAACTATCAATATTGATGAACAAAATCGTGTGTCATTACTGAATAATAACAGTAATAATGATGATACAAAACGACGTGCTTTCTGAATAGAAAGATGTAGCTGGCTATAAATCGAGTCTCAATTCGATTACAATACAATAAGCATCAAGATTTACCTATTCAACGACTCAATATAATTTTTTCTTGCTTATCGGAAACGTGTCCTTAGATATTTAATATTTAACTGATTTGTAAAGCTGTCAATTCGCGTTGCATATTTGCAAACAGCAATGAGCATTCACTCCGAAATGATGATGATGAGAAAATCCGAACGAAAGCAAAATATATTTATCGATGACAAACTTTTCGAAGAAAACAAAAGAGAAAATAATGTGCACCTAACCGACAACACTTGCTTGTCACACAACCTTTTCTCGATTGAATTCATTAAAAATAAAACTAAACGACAAACGAAATAGTTCATCATACTGCAAAGAATAACTTTAACTTAACTATAATAGATAAATAAGTTAATTAATTATAGACAGATGCCAATCAGTCGAATGAACACTGCAAAACACGACCATCACAATTTCAGGTCAACAGCCACTATCGAAAGTCTTATATAACGGAATTTCTTTGAGTTGACGGACGTCTCCACTCCATTCGAGAAATCCATGAATTAGATAGACGTCAATAAACGGAATGCTGAGAATCATGTTTCAACCAATCGACTGAATCACTACTAGAGTATGTGCACAGCTTCAAAACTACTTCGAAATAATTTCCGTGAAATTTTTAATCAATTCGAATTTCCTATTGCTATAAACTTCTCATTCTCACTCAAATAAGTTTCGAAGAAAATAACTGCAAACACAAATTTCGATCATTGTCTGTCCCATTAATGAAGCAACTATGTATCGTCAAAATCATAACCCCACAAGGTATTTCGATGAAAATAACGCAAAAAACGCATCAACAACGACAGTTTTAAATATCCTCAAATGGAAAATTTAACACTTTCAACTATCGTATTCTTCTTCAATAACCCAACAAAAATTACTGCAATATGGCACATCAGTTAGATTAGCTAAATCTATCATAAACTCAAGAAGAGCAATTTCGGAACCATGAAAGACTTTCAGGAGGCTGGACCCGATTGCGATCAATTAAAACAAATACAATGAAAGAGGATAACATTGCAAATGATTGATCGAATGTAGCATAGCTAAAAAAATAGTTGATGAATAGACATCAATTGGCAATTGAATGGAAAAACTAGAAAATAAACACAGTAGAAATAGCAACAGAAAATGTTTAGATAGTACAGATGTGGTTGTGCATAACGCCTCACGCATGCACATTCCTCTTGATTCGTATTCTCTATCCAATTTTACAGATAGACGACTAATAGTAATAAGGACAATAATCATATTATATCATACATCGATCGTTAACCAACAAAATCAGTGCTGCTCATTATGGATATTATCTATTCTGATTGAAAAAAAAAACTTTCCATAAAGAAATCTTGAATCAAACAACAGCAATCAACTACTACAACAGTTATACTTTAAGGATCAAATGGAACACGCCAAAGCGAACTTGTTACATCAACAACAACAAGAACAACAAGCACGAACGAATGATAACAGAGGAATCATTCAAGTTGTACATTCGTTGATGAAGAAAGGATTAGGTGCGTGAATGGAACAGGGCTTGGGTATACTCAATTGATAATGTTATCGCAGATGGAATAAACAACCCGGTAATTGACAAGAAGTTTCATACGAATTATTCAATGATCACAATGATTATTTCAAGTGGTTGTGAAAAATGAGCAGAGTGAGGCCGATTTGAATGGAATTGAAATTAGATAAAATCGACTGAAATGCAAAACATTCAACGAATCCGGCAGTATTTGCTACGAGGAGAAGAAACATCAATCAATTTAATCTTTATGGTTGACATCATCAGTGACAAAATCTGACTGTGGAAAGAGCTTTCTCAGCGCATCTCGTTGACGCAAATGCTTAACTGAATCGCGATATGCTACCAGTAACTGACTTTGATTAAGCAAAATAAAAGAAAGTATTCCTTAATCAACATCTAAATGTCCCAGTAAAATGATGAAGAAAGAAGAGAAGTGGATTCGTTGATGAGATGCGTTCATAGAAATATTGATAATAATAACAGTGAAGTATATTAAAAGAAAAGATTCGATAGTGAAACCGAATCGAATCAAATATAATATATTATTGTACAGCATCAGCTTTCATTAAAAGGAATCCGTTTAATTGGATTGAATTAAAAATAAATCAGAACTGAAGAGAACAAAACAAAACAGCAGTTAGAATCAATGCAGATCCATCCACTTAGTTCGATGATGATGATGATGTGAAACGTTCGTACAACGACAGCAAATAGCTTCGGAATGGTTCATAATATGAGTGACGAAGCATTTCAGCAGTTGGTGATGAATTCAACAATTTCGGATGACTCTTAAAAGTAAAAAAACGTTGTCATTAATGGAAGAATCAAATTTTCAACCTAATCAATAGGATGATATTCGTCGCTTATTCAACTGTTGACTGTATTCATTCCTTGTGAATATAACATAACTGTTATGAATTATTGGTATATAGCGAGCGTTTAAAAGATACTGTTCTAACACTAAACTGCAGATATTTATAGAGGTGATAATTAGTGAAAAAAAAAGTGTATATATGATAATAAGAATGAATAATTCCGAATAAAATGAAATAACTCACCTCGAAAATGGCGATAAGCAAAGCGATAAGAAAGAATGCAAGAAGAATGAACGAAAAGAAGACATTCAACGTTGAGAAAATCAATCCACGAGATGTTCTTGTTTTTGTTTGTATCAGAAGATGACATTCATTTGCATCGGTGCCAGTAGCTGATTGCAATCGAAGATCGTTGTTGGACTGCAGAGAAGACGATGAAGTTGGTTGTTGGTCGTGTTGCTCATCCACTGTGGAAACAGTTGACTGAATTGGAGTACTCGTCATTAACGGCTTTATTGAGCTATCGCTCATCAAAAATTCCTCCAAAATTTCTGACTGAATTTTTGCCGTACTTTCTACTCCGCCTTCTTTTATAGTTGTAGCTACATCTTTGTCCGCCTGAAATTGAATATTACTAACTGATAGAGATTCTTTGGCAATCAATTCGTAGAAACCAACAACAAAATCAGCAAAGAAACTCCAAAACCAAACCGAAATGAAATGCAAAGAAGCTACTCAGGGTAAAACTCGTTCGCTTAAGATCACTTCATCACTTAAATTGTCTATTCATCAGACAATCATATCATAAGAATTTTTCCTTAAATTTATTTATCCCACAAACAAAAACAATCCTTCACAAAATTGTTAGTGTTCCAAAAAATATCACTGAAATTCATTGAAATGTTTTCGTTCCGTTTCAGAAACACTGCTTCACTTCACTGAAATCGCTCGCCGTTTTGCTCGAGTAGCTAAGTGAATGAAGTTAAAACTGCGATAGTGAATTAATGGATGAATGAATAAATATAATCATGCAGTACCAAACAAAATGTAATTAATAAATCTATTAAAATGTGCACTACTCAGCACTTGAAACTTTTTTCCAGCTAATTTTTCTCACCAATAAATCCGCAAAAGTTTATCATATTTTGTGTAAACTCTAGCAAAAAATTTTTCTAATTTTGGAGAGTTCAAATGCACAAATTTAACTTCACAACATCGAAAAGATACGGTGCAAATAAATCACTTAGATTTAGCCAAACGATGAACAATAAAACAACAAACATCAACACCCAACATCGAAACATTGCAGGTCACCATGAAGATTGCATGGTTTCAAAAATCACTCCTCAATTGTTTCACTGCCTTCACTCGCTGATCAATTCAATGACAATGACAATAACAACACAACAGTGACAATGAACAAATATGAAATTTGAAAGAGATACACAACAAAGCAACAAAAATAGCACAAAAACTGTCATATAAAAAGATTCCACATCAAAATGTCCCAGTTTCATAATATTGCTATTTTCCATCACAGACACAGAAATAGACTTAAGCTTAGCGTCAACCTTCTGACATTCGGAACATTAATTCTGCCCAAAGCTTTAGGAAAAGTCCATTCTTAAGAAATGGAACATTTTGAGAGTGCATCTGAACTGATGAATATAGCAAGGCACTAAAAGCGCATGCATGCACAGCTGAATTTGAATGCCGTACCGCTGTAGAGGGAAGTGGTTCGGTCCGTGAAAGATGTATCGTGAATGTTGTCTGAAACACCACCGCTTATCTTTCATTTTTTAGATATTCACTCTGCGCAAACTTTCGCTTTTCTCTTTTAATATCTCTAACACAGAGTGTCAACTCATTAAGAACTATCATCAACATTGAAATGAACAAATATACACCATTTACGAACAGAAACTGCCTTTGCGTTTTCATATTTATACATACACAGTTTGTTCAGAGCTGTGTATCACGTCAAGTTCAAATTCTATTGCCTAAAATAAAATGTTCAACATCATCAGGCTAGATTCAAATATCGTCCTGATGAGCAGGAGTGCAGTGGACAGAAAAAAAAGACGACTGGCTGAGCCCAAACATGACATGTTAAATTCTACAAAAAACGTTATGCGATGTCATGACTTTTAAGAAATTCCTCCTTTTATAAATAGAAACGTTCAGCAATTGTTTTGGAACAGATACGATAAGGATATTTAGATGGAGGAAATGTTGATGAGATGGGAGAGCATTGAGAAGGCAATTAGAAAAAGGACACGAAATAGATGGGCATGAAGAAAAGGCGATTAAAATGAAGAATACAAAAAACCAGAAACAAAAGTCAGCTCAACGAAGCGATTTTTTCGCTTATGTTAGAAATCAACAATAATATGAAGAGTTAGGATGATACATCAAACTGAAATGACAAGTATCGTCGCGAAAACATACAAGAGGAAAGGAAAAAGATGAGTGAAAAATTGGTCGATGAAGCGAATAATTCCGAAAAAAAAAAGAAGTTACTTTGATTTGAATATGACGAAAACAATTTTATCGCCATGAAACATACTTGGTTATAATGTATTAAACTCAGACTTAATCAAGTAGAATTTCATCCACTCAGTATAGTGCCTAATTCAATACGATCCAGTTATAACATAGATATACAGCTTTGATAAGCATGCTCTCATAGCAGTTCTTGGCCCACATCAAAATTTTACTAACAGTTCTGGTAAAACACAGCACTCAACAGCAACCGATCAGTCCTTAAGCGTTGTAGTGAGGTAAGCGAATATATAATGCAGAAACTTCATAAAAGAATAACAATATCAATGGTGAAAATAACATGATTTCATTAAGATTACTCAGTTGCAAAGATTTTTCAGTACTCAAATCATTTTTTGCGCGCATCAAAAACACCAGTCTTACGGAACAAACTCTCCCAGCAGTAATGAATTATCGGAAAAGAGTGAACGCATATGGTATGAGTTGTTGTTTTTGTTTTGGGAAACGTAAAATGGGTGGGCATTTCGAAAGATATATTGATTGCCCTCCTCAGTCAGCAAATTGCTGATCTTGTAATCGGCAGTGAAGGATGATGAATGAATGATGAATTGGAAGGAAGTAGTGCAACTGAGTAAAACCTTTATCGAACGATGATTTAGCCATTTGACCGGAGGCGTCAGAATTATATCAACATGCTCGCTTACTGGGCACTCCTCGTTGTCGATTGCTGAGCTATTCAACGCAGTCGTCGCATTCGTTTGCATTACTGGAGGAGCGGTCACGTTGAACGGTGATGAGCACATCTCCGCTTGATCAGCCGAATCATCCTCTTCCGGAATCGCTGAAATAATCAGCATTCACTAACGGCAAAACTATAGGATCCATTAATTTCCGTTGAAAAAAATATCAAACGAAAACATTCAGATACGATATGAAGACCATCTGGGCGGATAGGATGGCGAACAACATCACAAAAATATTAGAGAAAGTTTGCTTGAAAATGATATTTCAAATAGAAACACAAATAAAAACTTAGAACAGAAGGAAAAAAATTAAGAATTCGCGATCGAGAAGATGACAAAGAATAAATCAAATTGTCGATTCATGACAACAGTTATTCCATCATTTCTTTCGTTCTCTTCAGAACAAGAATTAACAGACATTGCTACTTATCAGCTGTACTTTACAAACGTATAAAGCATCNGAAAATTAACATTGCAATTAACTGGGCAATTAACATTGCAAAGTGCAACAGAAAAAGATTACTTGGCATGTGTACCTCAAAGCACAATTATTATGCAAATACGAATGATGCACAACAATGAACAAGTACTGAACAAATAATGTGAGGCAAGTGAAGCAGCTATGCATACTATGTTCGGAGCAAAAACAAACTTTCGATAATGTGCAAAATGCCGTATTATTATTATTAAATACTTGGCGAACGCAAATTTGGCGACATCAATCACATATATTACCAAAACAATTTCATCGCAACTTATGAGGAAATGATACTTTATACCGATTTATAACGCTCTTTTATATTAATTAATCAAAACTGTCACATTCAATTTGAGGAATAAGGCGCTAAGATAATTTCACTTTACTCAACTGATTATAATCAAGGCCATATCCAACGTCAGAATTAGCCGTGATTCCATTGTATTTTCATAGTTTCAGTGAGCAAATTCAATCAATTTGAAGCATTCTAATCTATTGAACAAATAACAGCAAACGTTACACGCAATGAATTTTGCAATAAATTAATTCACACTGACGAGGCAATATAAAAAATTCCGGAATTTTTCGACAGAATTGTAGTTAGTAACTAAGTTGATTGACTACTGGCATGCAATCTAAAAGTATTTTGAAGTAGAAACGAATAATTAATCGTCAACAAGCGGAACAAATTATGAGCAACTAAATCATTGGGGAAACGAAAACGGAAGCTGGATAAATTAGGAGGAAATTAACGAAATGATATTCATCAGAGAGATTGGGTGAAAGTGAAATGAAATGAAGAACAAAGACAGACTCGTTGTTGCATTGAAGTTGTTGTTGAGATGAATCGTTGGTAGGGTATGGTATTTGCTTGTGGGTGCGATGAACTGTTGACGTGGTGGTTGTCGCTGGAGAGTGTAACGGGTGAATGTTGGTTCAGGACCATCACGTTTCGCATAGCCCTCCAACTCAATCTCGTGTAGTACACGAGCTGTTGGAAACCGAAATGTTGATCCACGTGACAGCAGTGGTATGCGCGGCCTTAATCATTCTTTTCTCATCAACACTGCTTATAATTCCTTCCCCTCAGTCAAATAATTTTAGTCCTTTTCCGCGTCTAACTGCCCCGATAAGGCTATACTAAAAATTCTTAGTTTGAACGATATGACTTCAGTGGAACCTAACAATAAGTCTCTATGTGGGCCTCATGCTTGTCCACTTCATTAAGCGCCAACTTATTTCCAGTGGTGAGCAATAACGCGTTATTCATTACTCTGTAAATATTTTCTTCGATAGCGCAATGGCTCGCTACTTTTTTTCATGTAGTGGAAATTCGCAGCGATAACTTGCGCAGTAATAATTGTTTAGCGACATAAAGTGTAGAGACGAATTGCGCTCTTTCTTTTATTAGCGTTTCAGTGAGCCAGACTTTTTCGGATTTCCACCAACTTGCTATTTTTCATCTTTAAGGGAATGTTTATTTTTGCAAGATGTTTAAAACACATATTTGCACCCTAGCATTGGCAAGTGTTAAATTCATATTTACCGTACTCGACCTAATGGGTCAAAGTTAAGTTTAATCACACTTCAAATACTTCCTCTAAGTGTACTACTAGCATTCCGTCAGAGCTCACTAAATTCGGAGAATTCAAATAAATTTCGTGACAATGCAATAAAATTTTCTTCATTCCTCTTTTGGCTAGGCAAAGACACAATGAGAGCAAAATGATCTGGACTGTCAGGCGAAATGGTTAGCGGTTTGATGTTTTCAGAAGAGAATGAAGTGTAGTTTGAGCTGCTTTCACTTGTTTTTTTTTTTGAATTTTTGTTACCTTCATTTATTGATCTTCTTATTGCTGACTGGCGCTCGTTGTTGGAAAACTTCTTTGTTGACTGATTATATCAAAATTCTTAACTGTTCAATGAAGCATTGAGATTTTCTCCCGGAGAAATAAGAGGCGCGATAGTAGATTCTAAAGGAACATTTGAGAGTGGTGAATATCGGACTGATCTTGCTCAGAAATGTTTTAACGGAAAATTACACGCGATTTTTTCCGATTAGCGACACTCTCAGCAAGAAATTTTCGTTACTTTTTGGTCAGTGGTGCTATTACCGGATCACTTCTAGCAAAACAAAAATATTTCCGCAGTAAATTAACGATTAGCAAAGATACTTTCAGTAGCGTGTCCATCACAAATTATTTCAATTCAATGTCACAAAAATTGGTTACCTAATACATTAGCATAACAACGACTTCAGATCAATAATCAGTAGGATAGATTAATTTTAGTTTTTTTTTCAGTCTTTCTAAACTGTTAATCGACTATCATGAATTCGCATTCCAAATTTTGAAAAAGAAATCGAAATTTATATAATCGCTCAAGCAGTAGAAGCAGAACTATCCACTGTATTATTGGGAAAAAAAGATATATTAATCATAAAAGTTTTGCTGTCAAACTATGAAATGAAATAAAAGAAGAGCAGGCGATAAAGAAATGAACTTCGCAACAATAATCAAATTCGTTGCATGTTTTTCAAATTAACTTATTTGGGAACAAATAGAATTAGAGTTTTTCACTTCGATTTGAACCCAAAATGAATCGTTTTCTCAAAAATTATCAATAAAAACTCAGTCCCAGTCTGTAAAGATCTGGTTGTTTTAAAAATTAACATGAATGCGATAAATAATAGAGCGTAACAGTGAAATTCACAACTCTATCCGAGTACACAACCATATATCAGTATTCATAAGAAAGCTACAGAAGAAGCATCATCCATCAATGAAGTAGCATTCCATTTCTTGTTTCATAATGAATGAGAGAATGAAAAAATTTTACTTAGAAAATTTTGGTTTGATGTGTTTGGCATCGCTTTCAGTGAAGAAAGCTTGCTGTGATAGTATATGTCGCCAGAGATGTTTAGCGAACGTGGCCGAAGGACAGTGCAGCTTCAGTGTACCATATGAGGATGATTTGGAGCCTTTTTTGGTGGTGGCCTTCAAATGATCATGATGAATAGGTGTGAAGTGTTCGTTCAGAGGAACACTTACAGAATTCATTCACAATATGAATTTAAAAATCAAAGAAAAGCACCAAAGCCAAACAAACAAAGCAATTAAAATTTCACAACCGCACTGTCTTGATAAATGTGTCACATACATTAAGATCGAGAGTCGTAGTACCACACGGAGGCACATATGCAGTTGTGGGTGTTATGAAGAGCGATTTGCCAAGATAGTCAACTTTTTCGACTTGGGACCTACAAACATTCTATTCATCACACATATTCGAGAACAGCTGGTGTTTTAATCCTTGAAAAAAAATTAAGGTGTGCAACTGATTCGAAACACAATTCAACGACCACACATGAAGTTTTAACAGAACACGAATGGATTCGACGTCTCACCGAATAAATGTGAGAATGCTTTACTGGAATAAAAATATATCCGCAAACTAAGCAAAGAAAGCAATCAAAATGCTTAATACAGTCCACGATTCAATCACCAATCGGCAAACTTTTCTTAAAGAATTCAAATTTCGGTGTGCAAAAATTTCGATGACTAGATGAAGAAAATATAACACAACAACTAATTCCAAACAAGTTTCCTCTGCTGTTCTTTACGGTTTCATTTGAAAATTCAACAAGATCTGAGAATTCTCATCCCACTATTTGTACAGCCAGTTTCTCTTCATAAAATCGATTTTACGAAACAAAAGATTACTTATCCATTACTCATAAGCAATTGGAATGAATAAAAGAGGCAGTAGCTGCACATATGCACAAACCAAAAATTTGAACAATACAACAAAAAAGAAATATGAAACAAGCCATTGGATATGATGCATCTTTCGACCAAAATGATAAATGTAGATGCCGCGATGTGTCACACCCACATACAACGGTTGTCCTTGTTTATCCTTAAATATTTTCAACAGGATCATTGCAATCAATGTTGTATCAGTAATGACAGCATAACTGCTATTGAACGACACTTCCATTCGCCTTCTTTAGCACTCATCAATAATCGAATGAATCAATCAAGAAAACAATGAACATATGAAACGACAGCACAATAAATTTGTCAATATCAAAGCATTGCTTTTATAGAACATTGATTCATATTCAGCACTCGAAACTGACTACATGCATTTGATCACATGAAAAAGGTTATGAAAAAACGTACAGTCAAGGAGAATGGGTCGAAACCGTATGTGTCGAGTTCAGATGCTTTCTTTAAGAACTCAAGCTCTGCTTCAGCCGGTGTAAGACCTCTGCAAGAAACAAAAGTCAAACATTAAAATGTTGATTTCCAGTGACATTAGCACTGCCACTTTGTTTGATCGTTTTGTTGAAATAACGGCAACCGAGCAGGATATTCATATCAAAACGAAGCACTACACCATGGCCAGGAATCAAACCAGTTTGTGCACAAATAATACAACCTACTTTAGTTGTTCGTGAGCTTCAGCTATTTTCTCTTCAAGTTTTGCCGACTGCTTCAAGATGAGTCTGTACTCAGAAACATAGTCGTCTGACCGCGGTTCAGCATCATAATCACCAATGACAGCTGAACGAAATCATTTTCATCATTAATTTATGAAGCGATTGTCAATAAATCAACGAGTGTCCTCGACGATTCATTAGCTCTACCCTGTTAAATGAAGATAGCGAAAATGCAGAAGTGAATCAACCTGCTAATTTTTTTTTATTCCTGGGGTTTGAATTCTCTTTCTCTACGATTCATGATCGAGAAAAAATACGAAAGAAAATTCTGAACGATTGTTGCAATTTTTTGAATGCGACAAAAACAAATACTCCGCTTGTATCAGCAATCAAAACGCCATCTAATTTCAAAAATGTCACAGCAACGCTAAAATACGTGAACATATGTGTATTCATTAGCATCACTGCATTGTGAATGAAACATAATTAGGATACTTCTCTTCGTGAAACTATTCAAAATGAAATCGTCATCAATCCATTGTGTCAAAAACTTCACAAATAACGCATTTACGAAAGAAAATTATACAATCTAGGCAAATTACTGCGTGATTTGGCGTAGTTATCTACTACGTATAGAAACTTACACTGAAGGATGAGGGCACACAATGTGGCCGCTTCCTTTTCTGGACAATGCAAGCGACCATGAAGAAGATCTCTTTGAAGCTGCACAAACAACTGATATCTGCAAATTTGATATTCATATACGCGAATGTATTTTTATACTTTGAAACTACAGCAGTGATGGAAGAAATGGAACATTTGTTATTTTTTTTGGAACGAACATGATGCATGATATATAGAGCATAAAACATTCACGGGGATTTTTTCTGGAAAAATTAGCTCATGTTTGATGCATAGTGAATCAAGTTAATCCAATAATGAGAGGAATAAATTGAACTGAACATAAACAAGCAGGATCAGTCAGCAAATCCTTTGTGATAAATCAACAAATCGTTTCTGTTTAAATTCGGCTCAATTCTCTTGCTTACGATGCGTGGAAGAGATTCAGTGAAAACTAGCGATAAAATTGAACGAATCAGAAACCTCGTGATTTCTTCTTTCAGCACGGTTACGTCCGATGGGTAGAAGCGCACTCGGAAACGCAATCCCACATTTGGACCTACAATTAGACACTTACAGAAACAAATTCGAGCATTTCACTTCAAACAAGATTGGTTGAGGCTTATTCGAGCAACGGATTGAAAAATACTTCACGGTCATTCCATTCAGAATAATCAATTAAAAACTCAAACAAAACCTCTTAATTTATATACCTACATAAATTCGGTTGATTCTGTAACCACCAAATACTCATTTATTCTAAAGTTTTGTTGGGAAAAAAACATCTATTTCTCTTAGCTGCTGAACCATGTTTCGGACAAATGAAAGAGAAGAAAATTGAATAGTGCACCTCTTATCTGCTTTGAAATCGGCTTATTCATATCAATCCAATACTAAAAGTTAAGTATTAATAACTTTAATTATGATTATAAACATCGTGAAAAGCTCCGATGAAGCTGTCCCTTTACAGCTACGAGCAAACAGTTTCGATAAAAACCAGTAATCACAAGATATCAATAAAATTTGATCAGTTTCCATAAAAAGGCTGTTAGATTGATCCACTGGGGGTAAGTTTAGGCACAGAGTTGAGAAAATGAACGATGAAAATCAAAAAAATCGACAACATACACGATGCTTGTATGCATCTTGATAACGCAGACCAAAATAGTCCTTTTCGACAATTTTCAAAAACTTGCACACATAATCCAGTATTTGTTGACCGTCTGCACTCTTCTGAAAACTTTGCAATAGGATATTTCATTACACGAATTACTATAAGGTAAACTTAGAAATGGCACAAATTGTAGTCATACTGCTCGATAAAGACATACACACCTTGAAATCCTGATCAAGAGTTTCATTGTCATCAAGAAGCTGTACGGTGGCCTTGTAGTCCCTGGATGAAATCAAACTCGAGCGGGTACTAAGTCTGCCGAAAATTGAAGAAGCAATTAAAGATGTGTCCCCCGGCATCCCGCCTGCCTCCGCAGCTCTAGCCTATGAATGAATAAACCATCAATCAGTGATACGAAATGACGCAATTGTAGTTTAACAGCTTACACTCCGCGAAAATGACGAGATATGTAAACGAGCACATATACGGTTGCGCAATAACAATAACGATCACAAAACCATCACAAAAGTGATTGATTGAAAACAACAAAATATTTCTAATTCAATATCAAAATGAATTCATAAAAACCGGTTCCAGTCTTCAATTGTAGTATGAAGTTCTCTTTTGCACTTATGAGCATACCGTGAGAAAAATATCGATACGATTAGGTGCATGTTTGCGATATATGGAATAATCATTGACGAATAAGAGAGAGGGGATATGGAACAACGTTCACATCATTTCCAAATGTTGCAACAATGATCGATCCCTGCCGTCAGAGCAGTACACTGAAGAATGCCCGCTGGCAGGCTGGTAGCTTCGAACCTTCGCTGTTGTTGCATTCTTCCTTTCAGCGTAACAAGACGCGCATTTGCGAAGCAGTGACTAACATAAGTAGCACTCTATATATGGCAGAGGAGAGAATGAAGCGAGTGAAGAATGGTAAAGAAAGAACAATCGTGAGCAGGAAATGCAATGAAAACAATTGGAACATGAAAAAATGTTAATTGTGTTGATCGTATGCAGCATGAGTATATTTTTTAATTGAAATTTTTCGCTTTTTTTTCAGTTCATCTGTGGTAAAATCCATAGAAATTCGTTCACTGAAACGTTCGTACACAAATAACAAATAAATAATCCATATTGAACGTTTTTTTTCGCGACTAAATATTTCCTGTTCTACGAGCATGCTGCTCGTAGAACAGGA